TTCATCTCGCAGCTGTCCCACCAACTGCTGTGGAACTCTATATGGGCGTTGACGAATTGGCTGCTTCTCTTTCAGTCGAATTGCATGCTCAATCAAGGTGGTCCGGCCTGGATTGGAAGAAAAGAGAGGAGACAGTTTCTGAAAGATCTGCTGAAGTTGTGAGGCTTGGTGTGAGGTCAAGTGACTGAGGTTGGGGGTTGACTGTCCAGCCTTCACTTCAATACCAGGAACCTCTTCTTCCTCCTCCACTTGTCTCAACAGGCATGATGTTTCTGGAGCTGGACATGATGGTTCTTTCCACTCCTTTAGCAAGTTCACATGGTAAGCCTGTGTAGCTTTCTTTTTCTCAGGATGGTAGACTTCATAGGTGGTGGGTCCTAGCTGTCGGCTGATAGTATAGGGTCCTTGCCACTTTGCCAAAAGTTTGCTGGTGGATGAGGGCAGGAGAAGCAACACCTTCTGTCCAGGACTGAAGACCCTTTGCCGTGCCTGCTGGTCATACCACCTCTTTTGCTTGTGCTGGGCCTGCAACAGGTTCTTCTCAGCTTCTTCCTGGTACTCAGCAAGCCGACCTCTCATCTGCAGCACGTACTGGACCACACCTTTGGCACTAGATGAGGTTTCTGATGCATCCCAGCTTTTCCTCAGCAGGTCTAGAGGTCCTTGAACATCCCACCCATACAGGAGTTCAAATGGGGAGAACCCGGTTGATGCCTGTGGCACCTCACGATAGGCAAAGAGAAGGAATGGTAACCAGCGGTCCCAATCTCTGCCAGTGTCATTCACAAACTTCTGCAGCATCCTCTTTAGCGTCTGGTTGAATCTTTCAACCAGTCCATCAGTCTGTGGATGGTAAGGCGTTGTCCTGATGGCTGAGATCCCAAGCTGTTTATGAAAGAGTTTTAGCAGATTAGAGGTGAAATTAGTTCCCTGGTCGGTCAAAATCTGATCTGGGACTCCAACTCTTGAAAATAGTTGGACCAGAGCTCTAACTACTGTAGGAGCAGTAATTGTGTGCAGTGGAAAAGCTTCTGGAAATCTGGTGGCATAGTCACATACTACCAAGATGTACTGATGACCACGCCCACTCTTCACTAGGGGTCCAACAATGTCCATTGCAACCTTACGAAAAGGAGTAGAGATGACAGGTAGTGGCTGGAGGAGCGCCCGATCTGATTTCCGAGCAGGACGAGTCTTCTGGCATGTAGGACAAGAAGCACATAATGCATTAATGTCATTATACATTGACGGCCAGTAAAAACGTGAGCTGACACGCATAAATGTTTTGTGACGCCCCAAGTGCCCTGCCCATGGAATGGTGTGTGCCAAATGCATGACAAGTGCCCTACAACTAGTTGGAACTACCAACCGTTGTTTTTCATTACAAGCATACAACACGCCATCTTTTAACACAAACGTTTCTCTTCCTCTCCACTTAGCATTAGTTTTTTCCTCCACTCTGTCAAATAAAGGTTGTAAAGACACATCCTGTTTCTGTAAAGTAGCAATATTTTCAGGTATCTTCCACATGTCATCCACTGTTAAATCTTGTGACACATTTCCACCCAGCAGTAGCTTTTTCTCAAATTTTTTTGCTTTCTGGATTTTCTAGACAATTTTGGAACCTCAAACAAACTATCATCAAAATTAGGTAAGGATTCAACTTGTTCTTTGGCCTGAGAACGAGTAATCACAGGACAGGACGCATTGCTAACTTTGTCCCCCTCAGTTTGTACCTCTCCCAAAAGGTGAAACATCACAGGTAAATCTGTACCCAAAATGACATCAAAAGGTAGGTTTTTCACCACACCAACAGTTAGCAAATATGGTTGATCATCAACAATGACAGTCACTTCTGCTCTTGGATACACATGACAATCTCCATGCACACACAAAATCTCAGTCTTCTTTTCATAGTTCACACATCCAACAGATACAAGACTCTCTTTTATGAGTGATGTGGAACTACCACTGTCTATTAATGCAGTCACCTGCAGTCCATTCACAATCACAGTTTTCTGAGTTCTAGTTTCAAAGTTTTTGACTCCAGTCTGATTTTCAGCTCTAGGAGCATAGCAGGAACCAGTAAACTTTGTCTTCTTTATTGGACACACCGAAGCCTTGTGGCCCGGCTGCTGGCAATAATAGCAAATTAATGTCTTACCATTAGGCGGTGGATTCAGAGGACTGATGGTACCTTTAACCTCCTGGCTTGGATCTCTGGCATACCGTTGATGTCCAGCCGGTTGAACAGGACGTGGTACTGGATTGGAGCAACGTGCTGCTCCTCCTCGCCGTGCATTCATGTACTGAAGAGCCAACTTTGCAGCAGTCAGACCACCCTTAGGTTCATGTTCCTTCACCCAGGTCCTTACATCCGGGGGCAGAACGCTCAGCAGCTGTTCCTGGATGATGAGCTCCCGATGTCCTCTTTGGAACGCTGGTCTGGACGGATCCATCGTCGGTAGAGACCTCTAAGACGGTGGTAAGTTTCAGTAGGAGTTTCACCAGCAGGTGTACTTGTTGCTCTGAACTTCTGTCTGTAAGTCTCTGGTGAGATGTCAAACTTTGCTAACAAAGCAGTCTTCAAGTCCTTGTAGCAGTGAGCCCGTTCCTCATCCATGGCAGCATAGGCCTCCAGCGCCTTCCCAGAAAGGAGTGGAATGAGTCGGCACGCCCATTCACTTTCTGGCCACCTCCAGGTCTTAGCAATGCGCTCAAACCGCAGCAGATAGTTTTCCAGGTCTTCTCCTAATTGATAAGGAGGAATTTTTGGATCAGTGGTGTAACTTATTGGCTGAGGTTGCCGGCTTGGATCACCATCATCACCACCACCACCATCATCATCACTTTGCTCTGCACCAGCTCCTGGCTGAAGGTGAGGGCGTGGTACTTGCTGTGGTTGCTGCAAAGACATCCTAAGATTTTGCAGTTCCTTGAGCAGCCCTTTCTCTCGCTTTTGCTGACCTGCCATAAAGTCCTTCATCAAAGTGAAAAACTCACTGCCAAACGCACTTGATCCACTGGGGCCAGGCTTTGTTTCACCTTCCTCATCTGATCCATCCGACGTCGGCATGCTCTCCAATGCTTTGTCAGCCATCTGCTCTTCCATCTTTAATTGTGATCGAAGACCAGATCTTTGCTTCACCAAACGAGACCCTCTTCCCCGGCTTGTCATAATCCCACTTCTGACACCATATGTGACGGGGTTCTTTTATGACTTGGGCCACCACAAAAAAATGACGGGCCAAGGCCAGGGATTACTTTAGTGAGATTTTTTTTTTTATCAGTGCAGTGAATCAACAGTGGCAAATGCATAATATTTACAAAAATGTCCAAGATGACTTAAAAATCAACACAGCACAGCAGTACCTTCAAGTCGCAGCTCATCACCTCCAATGTGACACTTCTCACGCCTAGGTGCAGACTGCCCTCTATGAAACAGAGCCCTGCTTTTATAGCTACAGGCTCCGCCCAGAGGAAGTCCCATCAAACAAAACTAAACTAAACAAAACAAAAACTAAACAATTATTTCTAACTCAAATCCTTAAAATAACAATAAGAAACAATAAGGAAGAAAAAATAAATACATTTATAATCAAAATACACCCAAACAAAAGAACAAAAACAACCAGCACATTGTGATGACTACGCCACATCACGTAATTGGCTCCCGGTGCGCTCCAAACTGGAAACAACTTCCCCCAAAGAAAACCGGAAAAACATGTACCTGAAAATAACCGATTAGAATGAACGTCAAACGAAAACACCGCGTGTGCACCCACGATGAATCGCCTCAATCCAAACTAAAAGGAAAAGAAACAGGTAAGTTTATAATTGTGCATGTTTGCTAACAGGGACTCTCCGATCGTGACGGCTCCTCCGTCACACTTGACTTTTCTGTAAATATAATTTATGGCTCATTTCAGTCCAGTTAATACATAAGATTACTTAAATTTGGAATTTGCTGCATTATCCTTGAAGTAAAAATTCCGATTTTTAAAATGTTTTCTACATATCATTGCTGTACAATTCAACTGAAAGAAATTTCAAAGTAGTTGCAGGGAAAGACAAAGATGCGGCAAAATAAACACAATATAGGTCAGTCTTGTATCGGCTGCAAGTGTTCACTTCAAATAGGTCAGCTTTGTTTTCTAATAATCAGGCTAAAAAACACAAAATATGTTTCTATGTTTCAGGCCTTGTACGGGTTGGATGTGCTGTTTTTATGCATGGTGCTTGTCGGGGTTGTGCTTATATTCCTGTGAGTTGGGTGCGGTTATGGTTTTGGTGCATTCCCTCCAACAATACAATGGACACACTTTCTCAGTTTCTCTTTCGTTGTCAATCTCAATGTCACTTTTGTCTCAGTCTTTAGCTTGCGCTATTCTCTTCATCACGCAGCAGTCTGGCCTCTCAAAACCCTTTGGTAACAAGCTGTGTATTAGCAACATCATAGTGCCAACACAGTGTGAAAAACGACACCACTGTCATTATTGTCCTTAAGTAGCATTACTATGCTACTTAGTCAAAGTAGGAACAAAAATTAAAACCTGCCTGTAAGATTAATGGTCAGACTCAGTGGCTTTAAGTGAGAACTAAGTGATATTTGGAACTGGACAGAAGTAAGCCTGGGCAAATCAAATTGTAAATGACCTGTACTTATACAGTGCTTTATCAAATCCAGAGAAAGCTGCACTCAACATTCAGATATTCACATGCTGATGGCAGCCAACTACTGGGACAATCAGACAAAGGTGAGGCTGCCATGCATCAGCGCCACCAGCAGGTAAGACAGGTGAAATATCTTGCTCAAGGACATAGCAACAGAGACAGAGCAACCCAGAAACTCCTACCATCACCCCAAAGGGAAAAATAGTTCTGACTATTATTTTGATAATCTATCAGTCTAACAATTACTTTTTTTTCCAATGTTAAAATTGTCCAGTTAAAGGGTTAAAGAGGCCATCCCAGTCATCTGTAGTATGTCAAACCGGTACCTGAACGCTGCCTACTGCAGAGTAGGCTGCATAGGAGAACTGCTGCTTTAGCAGGTCAGTGGGCCCCCGCTGGTCACAGGGGGTCCCATGGGGAAGAAAACACTGGTGGCTGGATCTGTCTGTGATGGTGTTTGGAGTGGAGCCAGGCAAGCTGAGCAGAACCGTGTGATTGTACAGGTGGACATCAGTCAGACCAAGTCCGACCCACTGCCTGTACAGGTACCTGGCCCTGGACTCCTCACTGTCGCCTGCCAGGCTGGAGAAAGATCTGGAACACAACATAAACATCAGGAAAGATTAATAGTTTGGGATTATGAAGACAGTTTTTTTTTCTTTTCTTTTCTTTAGCTTGATTAATTCTTGAGTTCAGGTGTAAATTATAGCCATATTTAGTAAAATGACTATATAGCATTGGAAAATGTATTTTGCCCATTAACCATATACAGTAAGTGAAATAAGTACCAAGCACATCAACTTTTAATGTTTCTATTGAGATAAAGTTCCCACCATCATTCAGAGCCCAAGTAACACACACACACAAAAATCAAAGTAATCTCCAACTTATGTTATGTGTTATGAGCACAAGAAAAACATGATTAACATCATTTTCAAAACAGATTGAAAGTCAAGGGAACAAGCTAAGATTTGTCAATATTTAGAAAGGATTCCTGCTGCTGCTGTGCATAAATCATGATGAGTTGATTTAATATTAACTGAATGCCTAAAAAATGTTTTCTCTTTGAAACTAAAGTAAGTGCAGGATTGTGTGATTTTTAATGTAAAAATATCTTGACATTAAAATTGTGCTGTTGTAAATAATGTGAAAAGTGACAGCTAAAGCTGCTTTCTGAACTTCTGCAACAAAAAAACATTTTCTGAAAGAGAAATCAACTAAAGAACATAAAGACAATGAGCACTCAGAGAGCTTCGTAGAAGCTTATTAGGTACAGTTTTTCCAATATTTTTGTACTTTACTTATTAATATATATATTTGACACTTTTTGTCACAAAAACAAGGCCTGAAAATGTTCGCTTTTACTATGCCACTTAGTCAAAGTAGGAACAAAAATTAAAACCTTTAGCTTGATTAATTCTTGAGTTCAGGTGTAAGACTAATGGGAAGAATCCAATTCAGAATCCATTTTGATAAGTGCAGAACATAAACTAATTGATCTTCCATATTGTGGATAATGGTTCTATTCAAGTCTCCAACCCATCACCAGTTTGTTTTGCCAGGGGGCTAAACTGAATGAACTTCTCGTCTTTCTTTGCTTCTCAAACACACTGAAAATCCTCACAGGATTCTGGAGTCCCCATCATTCACATTTTCCTAATTGCACAAAAGAAATGTCAATAAAGATTGATCCAAGTCTTATTTGATTCTCCTAGTTTATTTGGTTCTTGATGTTTACTCTTCTTATTGTTTTGACTCGCAGAGACCTGGACTCAAAAGTTCACCAATAAAAACGTGAACAGACTTGGCTGGCTGGCATTTCAGCCACAGAAACCCAGCAGTCCACCAGCGGTGATTTTTGATGTAAAATAAACCTGAGAAAAACTGCAAGTCAAGAGAACTACAAGTATGAAAACAAAAGGAACAAGTACAACCTTATTTTTCAGGAGATTGCTTATTTTGCCTTACTGAAAGAATATCAATATCAGTTGTTATGCTTAGAGTTGAACTGACCCTTCATACTACTCCTTTGATGCAAATGGAAAATTAAAACTAACCAATCTGATTCCTAGCTAATCACATTGTTGAGGGTAGGTTCCAACAAAGTAACCATATCCAACAAAATAACTTATCAACAAAATTACAACACAAAAATTCAAACCAACCATCTCAACAATATCAACATTTTACAACCATTACAAGGACATTAAGAAATACCCTAAAACACAAAAGCTAAATACAAACAATCAAGAATTTCAAAGATAAATTCAAAATAAATAGTAGCAATCTTTATTCTGAATATAAATTCACCCATTATATCACTTCAATATTATTTAATTATCTATAATTGATTTTTTTTTAAAGATACGTGATCAATTTTGCATGTCAATATCCAGAAAGGATTCCTGCTGCTGCTGTGCATAAATCATGATGAGTTGATTTAATATTAAATCAACTCATCAAAATAACTCAGAAGGAAACATGTTTCAGTTTGAAAATGCTCTATCCACTCCTGACTGACTGTCAGAAAAGAAAAGTTTGAAAGATCTTTAGACAGTTCATGAGTTCCTGCAGTAGTCTATTAATTTCATATCAGTGAGTCGATTAAGCAGTTAGCTGAAACCACTGCAAGCACTTGGCACAACCAAAGTGAATGAATCTTCCTCAGCACAGACTCAACATTTGCATAGTGTTAATGGCATTCGGTCACTAATGTGAAATGTAACTGGCAACTGAAGCTTAAGGCAGGGCATCTTTATTTATCATTGAAAAGTAAAATCAAGACTCAACAGTGTGCTGTGAGAATAAACTTTACCTACAGTATAAACTCTTTGTTCAACACTTCAGCTGTAGACATTGTAGATGTGTTTGTGTTACCGGCACCAGACCAAGGGGAAAGCTGGCCGCTCCTCAGACCAACAGACAGAGGAAGTGTCTGTTTTCCATGAAATACTTATTACAGTGAACTACATCCGCACTGTCCTTGTCAAATACATTCATTAGAAAACCTGCATAAAACTCCATCAAGCGCTGGTAATCTCAAAACACCTGAGCAACATTTAGAATGACTTCTAAACACTTCAGTGAATCTATGCATCAACTTCTGATACCATCACTTATTCCACTGCCTTTTTAACACCAATTTCTGGTGAGAATATCAAAGTACAGCTAAATAAACCTTTCTTTAGGGTGCCTAACTGTTATTGTCAGTCAGAATACTTGGATGGGAAATTGGAGCTTTCCAGCCTTGACATCTATTCAGACACAAACTACAAGATGTTTTGTTTCCCACAAGCCTCTCTGAGAGGCTATTATCCCTCCTTCTAGTAAAAATGACTCACCCTAGGTGTGTATGAACAGGTGAGGAGTGTTTTTCAATCTGCAAAGCAGATGTTTAAATTATGTGGATGATCAGTTCAAACAGGGATTGTGAGTTTAATGTGTGGATAAGAGAGACATGTATGATATCTCTATCAGACTCCAGAGCAGACGGCCCAAACGCACCGTTGGGCATTGTGTTGTTAGAAGGCTGCGACTCAAAGCTCTCCAGCAGCCAATCATGTTAAAATACACACATGCACACGCATAAAATATTATGTCAGGTCAATTTGTATTAGCCGGTAAAATGATAGAAACAGGATTTCTGTGGATATTTAGGTTCCTATGCCCAGGTTGGCCCACATGTAGCTAAAATTTCAGGATAAGTGCAAGACTTAGAATCCAGGAAATAGCATAAAACCTGTCACACAAGAACTAAAATATAACCATCTTGCGGATTCCTTTAGGTAATAGAACCTCTAGAAAAAATAGAGGATCTATTTATCAGAATTCATCTAAATTCTTAAACAGATTAATTAATTCATTACTAACATTCATTTAAAATGTAACACATTCTTTCCTCCAATGTGGTGAACGAAAGTCCATCCATGACAACCCGTGCTGGCCATCACTGGATTTGAGCTGAAAATTCAGCCAATCAGATCAGTCGGAAGAATTACCGCCCACAACTGACAAAGATGCCCAGTAAAACAGAGTGATTTTCTGACAAAAGCATACAGATAGGGGGAGGGATGGTGTTGCGGCCTCTCAATCAATATATGTACTCATTATCCTGTGTAAGGATATTTATAAAGTATAATTAGGAAAAGACAACAAATTCCTAATTTTATCTAAACCACATAGGGTCACCACTTCAGATTGCGCTGGACCATTCAGTTAAGAAAAGTTGGGCTTTTATTTGGGGCGGCTTGGTCTTCTTAACATTTTCTTGCAACTAATTGAACATGACTACTGTGTACATTTATGTATTTATTCGGTTGAGGAAACAATACCAGAAGGCGATTGAAAAACTTCAAAATAAGGTTGTTAAGATAATATGTGTTATTTCCATGCTGTGTAGGCTTTCTTATGTTTAAAGAGATGCTCTGATTGTTTTGAAGTGGTAATATGGATGCATTGGAAGTCTGCTTAGCATCTTCACCCGATGCATGGGATGAATTGCCTCTGATGTCGCCCTCACAAGGGAAACTTTTTGAAAAGCGGTTTGCTTCAACGTCAGCAGGCAGCAGTCTCATGAAAGCTTATTTTGTAACGTTTCATATCTGGTGTTTTTGTCAGCTAAGCTTTAATTAATACTTTGATCACAGTCTGAATTGATGAAAAGTCTGTTCGCAATAATTAAACAGCTGAAACCAGGATCCCTTAATCTTAAACCTGGGGGTCTTTAAAATCCAGCATATTTTGTAATGACACAGATATAAAAATGACAATATTACTCCACTGTAACATCCAACAGTCTCCTTGTCACTGGCAAACATATGATTTCCTAAGAATTTTCTCCTCATGCTCCTATTTTGCTTTGTGCAGCAATATTTTTATTGCATGTTTTAGACTCATTATAATGATAATAGGCAAGAGCTAGGAGCATGGGCGCAGGCAGATAAATCACATTTACCCGATGCATATTGTAGAAATAATTGACTTGGTGAGTGTGCTAATGTGCATTCATGGGCCAAGCAGACTTAGCATACGAGACGCTGTTGCCTCTGCTGGCAGCTGCGGAGGATAATATATTCCTGTAGGACACAATCATTTTAATAGCTCATCCATTTGTTCAAGAGACAATTGATTTTCTCTGTTTCAATGCACGTTAGTCACATTTGATTTCTCTCATCCCATTTGCATTTGTCATATTTTCAGAGTGTGTAGCTTGAGCTCAGGCTTTATGAAAGGAAATCCTTATTCAGGTGTCAGGGTTGGTGTTTAGATGGAATCCAAGTGAAGACTGAGACCACCATTAAAGAAGATTTAAGACATCATTGGCAAATCACTGCAGAGCAAGTCAGAGGGGAGAAATTCAGAAAGAACATCAGAGAGTACATCAACTAACATCCCAACAGAAAACTCGGTGCAGTGTTGCTCATATCCTTCAATGATATTATGTATCTTGTATTCCTATTCTGTTTAAAGCTTTAAATAACACATATGATAACGTATAAGACACAATGTGATCTCCAGTTAAAGGAGGAGTTACAAGAGCGTTTTAACTGAGGAATTTGTAACAAGAATTCAACCTAGATGTTTGCATGCTGTAT